CAGCTGAAAGCTCCTCAGATGTTCTGCTGCTTTGATTATTTGACAGACCATGTTTTTTAAATTATTCTTGTATAAATATTTACGCGTTTTTACAAGAACCATGCTTTGAGCAACAGGCCATGGCAGAGGAAGGGCCAGAGGGGAGGGGGCTGGACGCTGGATTGCTCCATTCCAGCTTTGCAGGTCAGCTGGGGGTTGAGTGCAATCGGTGCGGGGACACCAGGCTGCACCCAGGACAATGCGTGCTGGGTGCTGACAGCTCACCTGAACGAAAGGTGGCCGGTTGGTGTGATCCTGCCCCTTCTCCTCTCTTCCCTGGCTTTCCCCTCCCCAGGGAGCAGAGCCTGGCTGAGCACTGGACCAGCCAGGGGCCAAAACGCCTGCTGCAGGGTGCAAGTTGCTGGTTGCTGCTGGGAGCCCCGTGGAGCCCCGCACGCATCCCTGGCCTCGTCCCCAGCCTCATGCTTGGCCTCCTTGCCTGGTCAGGTCCAGAAACCACCTCCAGCAGCTGCCCTGAGCTGAGAAAGCCCCTTTGTCACCCTGCCACCAGGCACCGAGGGGGGGATGTGGCTGCCAGTGGGATGGACATCACTCCTCCATCCCCTGCTCCCACTCCAGCACTGCACCTCAGAGCGGCACTGTCACCCCGGGCCAGGTCAGGGAGGAGGCAGTGGGTGCTGGGAACCCCTGTGGGTCCTCCTGAGAGAGAAGGGGATGGGAGAGGGGTCTCGGGGTGGGGGGGTGTGTGTGCCGCTGCAGCCCCTGCATCTACTCCCAAAGCTCCTGGGCTAGGGCTTCAGGGACAGCGGCTGGAGAAAAGCCCCCTGCTGTCATGTAGACCCTTCCCGCTGGCCCCGTCCTCCTCCCCAGGACTGTAGCTGTGGTTTTTCGGGAAGGATGAGGGTGAGCTCCCCCCCTCCCCTCCCCCACCCACAGATGGGATCCACAACCCAGCCTTGTGTTTTCCGCCGAGCTCAGCAGAAATTCACCCAGAAGGTCAGTGACCAGAGAAAGGGACGATCCATCATTAAATAAATTGTTTTCATTTCCCAGGATAAAGGGGAAGAAAGGAGGGGGGTGGTGATGTTGGACTGGGACTGAAAAAAAAAGAGCACAAGGCAGGAAAACCACCCCCTGTGCTCCCTGCCATCAGGAGCCTCGGCTCCTTCCCCGTGCTCTTGCAGGGCTTTTACAGCCAAAGCTCTTAATGTGATTATAATAATTATTTCTTTCCTAGCATTTTTTTTTTTTTTTTTTTTTTTTTTTTGGTGTGTCATAAACAGCCTCTTTTGAAATGTCTCTGGGGGAAGCCAAGACTCCAGCTGAGCTCTGGCCTGGAGGAAGGAGCTGGGGCTGGGGGAGCGTGCGAACGTGCGCGGGTGCGTGCAGGCAAGCACATGTGTGCGGGAGCGCGTGGGTGACTGTGGGGGCACCCTGGGCAGGGGGGGGGATCCACTGGTGTGTGCGAGCACACCCGGGGCTGTGAAAACACGGTGGTTCCCTGGGGACAAGCAAGCAGGGGGTTCCTCTCCGTCTCTCTTGGTCCAGGTGCCCCATCGCACCCCTCCTCACACCCCTCCTCACACCCCTGCTCTCCCGCTCCTCTGTGTGGTCCCCCCAGCCCTGGGGCTGGGCTTTGAAATCTGTTGAAAAGAGACCTGTTTTGCCAAAATAAACAGCCTGTCATGTTAAATTACTCTCCCTTCCTCTCTACCTCCCCTGGCTGCGTCCCCACTCCCCATCCCAAACTTTTTGCCAGGGGCCATGCTGCTCGGGGCAAACCCCCAACTCCAGTGGGAGGACTGTGGGGCACAGGAGTGCCAGCACTGGGGCTGGTGCGGAGCCGGGGTGTTGGGGCAGAGCAACACCTACCTCCCGCATCCCGGTCTCCTTGTCCCCCACCAGCTCCTTCACCTGCCAGCTCAAACCCCCGCTGCCTTTCTGCTGGGTGGCAATGGCATCTTGCAGGGTCTGGGGCTCAGTGGTGACACAGCACATGGTGTCTTACAGAGGGGTGAGCAGCTGGGTGAGGGATGCCAGGGGCTCGCTGCAGCCCCTCGCCCACCCCTGCCATCTTGAGGGCTCCCACGTCCCCAGGTTTCCTCCTCTTTCGTTCTTGTCCTTGCTCTTATTTTTGAGTTGTTTTCTCTCTCCTGTTTCTAACGGAGCAAAAATTCATAGAGCCATAAAATGCCGAGACGGAAAACGAGGGATTAGCTCATTCAGCCTGGCCCCTCTGCCAGTGCCAGGCTGTTCCCCGCCAACCTCCTGGTGACTTGTCCAGGCCGAGCGCCGCACTCCAGCCATGTCTTCCATGGCCCAGCCGACCTTCTTGCTAGGAAATTTTCCCTGAGGTCTAGCCTCCACCAGAGGTGTGGTATGTTTGAGCCTCTTGCTGGGGTAGCCGCCCTGGTGCTCAGCCCTCCAGTGTTTTGTTGTTTCCTCCGCACAGGATGGATCTTCTGTTGCCTGCCCTCCACCTCGACCTGCGCCGTCCCCTGCCCACGCCAGCTCCTCTCCCTTCTTCTGGGTGGCATCTGCCTTGGCGTCCCACCGCGCTTGGCTCGGGCTCTGCCGGGCGGCCGGCAGGGATGCCCGTGGGCGCAGGGTTGGCCTCACGCCCCACAGTCCCCGTGCACAGCTCACAGTGCCGTGCCACCTTCCTCCAGCAGGCAAAGTGCAGGCAGGGGCCGCACCTGCCACGCTGAGCTGCCTGCTTGGCCTTGCTGGCTGGCCCCCGATCTGAGGGGGACCCCTCTCTGCACCCCAGCACCCCCGCTACCGAGCTGCCCCCCAGCCTGGGGCATTGGTCAGCATCCAGCAGCACCTCCGGCTGCTCCCCCCTCTCCTGGCTGGCCGGCCAGCTGTGTTGCCAGCTGTGCCACCAGCCAGCACCGCTCCTTGGCCAGCTCGTCCTTCTCTCACTGCAGCTGCAGCAGGGACGCTGCCTGCACTGCCTCCGCGGCCTGTGCCTGGCAGCAGTGGGGTAGCTGCTCCTCCAGGGCCTGCTCCTGGCCCCTTGCCTGAGGGAGAGAGGAGGAGGAGGAGGGGCGAAGGAGGAAGAGGAAGGGGGAAAGAGGAAGGAGGGAGAGGAAGGGGGAAAGAGGAAGGAGGGAGAGGAAGGGGGAAAGAGGAAGGGGAAAAGAGGAAGGAGGGAGAGGAAGGGGGAAAGAGGAAGGAGGGAGAGGAAGGGGGAAAGAGGAAGGGGAAAAGAGGAAGGAGGGAGAGGAAGGGGGAAAGAGGAAGGAGAAAAGAGGAAGGAGGGAGAGGAAGGGGGAAAGAGGAAGGAGGGAGAGGAAGGGGGAAAGAGGAAGGAGGAAGAGGAAGGAGGAAAGAGGAAGGAGGGAGAGGAAGGGGGAAAGAGGAAGGAGGAAGAGGAAAGAGGAAAGGAGAAATGAGAAAGGGAAAAGGGAAAAGGGGAAGGAGGAATGAGAAGAGGAAGGGGAAGAATGAAGGGTAAAGAGAAAGGGGAAAGAGGAAGAAGGACAGAGAAGAGGAAGGGGGAAAGAGGAGGGGGAGAAGAGGAAGGAGGAAGGGAAAAGGGGATAGGCCTGTGAGAAGAGGCAGAGGGCAGCATTTTGCAGCACCCACCTCTCCATGGTGGCACCCGGAGGTCTGCAAAGTGCAGGTGCTAAAGACAGTGGGGAGCTGGGGGGGATCACATCGCGCTTGCTCCTCCTGGTGCCAGAGCTCTGGCAGCGATGTGAGCAGGATGCCAGGGTTGTGCTGCGGGGTCAGCCAGCACCACGCTGAGGGGGGCATAACTGCCCCACCAGCACCCAGCCACTTGGAGGGACTGCCTTGTCTCCCTACCATGGCAAGTCTTACCTTCTTATAGTCGAGGTCCTGCTCACAGTTCAGTTCCCGAATGACCCCTGTGGCTTCCTCCAGCATCCCTGCCAGATGCTGACTGAAGGGCTGTCCTGGCTGCTGTCACAGCAGGGACTCCAGCCGTGACAAAGTGATGCTCCTAGGGCATGCAGCAGCCCTGCCAGCAGTGAGCCGTGCCCCACCACCCCTGGAAATCCAGTGGTCTGCATCTCTCTGCCCTCTTTTCCCCACATCGGGGCCTGGAGTGGTTGTTTCTTCTGCCTGGCTCAGGACTAGCATCCTCCAGGATGACCCTGGACCCCTCTGCCCCAGGAGCCCTGCTTTGGCAGCAGGGAGTCCTGCCGCTCTCAATTCCTCTCCGGGACACCCACCAGCTTGTCATCCCCGCCTGATGGATAGGGTCAGGACCAAGCTGCATGTTCAGCCCTGGTCGGGACGGTGGTCAGCGTGGGGGACTGACTGCCCCCTGCTTAGGTGGGGTGAAATCAGGAGTGGGGGGCTTGGGTAGAGAGGCACAGATCCTGTCACCCACCCTCAGGGGTTTCAAATCTGGCTGGGGCTCCCCCAGCCCTGGGCGTCCTGAGCCTCTAGGCAGTGAGGAGCCTGGTGCAGGTTCCCTCTCACCCCCATGCTTGTATTGCAGGTGCGTGGTGATTCTCTGCGGATTGAAGGTCTGGCCCTGCTCCCTCTTGGAAGGCAGCTGGGGCTCCCTGGAGCTCGGCTGGTGGAAGGACAGATGGCCATGAGGGACAGACCCCTGCGTGGAGGGTGGCTCCTCAGCCACGTGGGACTGAAGAAGGCATGAGAATGAACTGGAAATAACCCAGGGAAATCAAGAAACCTTGTCTGGGCCATACAAAAGGACCATAAAAAGCCTGAGCCACAGGAAATGGGAGAACTGGATCTGTGTCTCTCTCCCTTCCCCTCCCCAGAAGTGGTCCCAGGGCCCCATGTTCAGCTGTGTCCCTCTCCCCACACGGGTTCCTGCTGCCACAGAGCCTCCCCCATCCTTTCCTGCTCTGACCAAGGGCAGAAACAGTTTGCATGGAAGCCTGTGATTACTGAACTGTGCTGTCCTGTGGAGAGCCCTGCCTTCCATCCACAAGCCTTATTTATTAAGAACTCTGGCTCAGGGCCTGTGAAGCCAGGTAACCTGCCCTGGGGAGGGCATGCCACGCACCCCCGCTCCAGGATTTGTGGGAGATGCTGGAGGACTGAGGGCGGGTATGACTGTACAGCCAGAAAGGCTGTGCAGAAACAACAGCTAGTCTCTGCCCTGTTGTGGATGGTGCTGCCTTAACTCCGGGCAGCCCAGGGGATAAGCCTGTCCCGGGCAGCTCTCTGGAGGTGGAAGGTGACCAAGACCACGCTTAGATCGGAGCACGGACCCAAAACACAGCCCTTGCCTCAGCAGCGCTTGCTCCTTCTGGCAGCAGCCAGGCTGAGGACCACCACCCCGGCACCACAGCCCGCTCCCACCTCGCTGCCCAGAGGTTTTGGGGCTGAAAGTGCCGGTTTGCACGTCCCCCCCCCGTGGCGATGCTCCCCCGTGGCTCCAGGCAGTCAGGCCAGGGCGGCAGGGTGGTGGGTTGCCTTCATCTGGTGCTGGCTGGGAGGGGGTGCTGCTGGCAGGTAGCCCAGGTGCCAGGAGAGGTGTGGGACACACAGCATCACCCTGGCATGACCTGCCGGCTGCATACCTCCTGTCATCCTGCTGGGCTGCTCTGGGAGGCCTCGGTGTGACTCAGTCCCCAGCCCTGGGTCTGCCCTGGGGGCGCACAGTGCTCCCCCCTCCCCGCAGCTCCAGCAGTGCTGCTTGTCAACGCCTGCCTGTGGCTTCCCTCCACCCACCCCGCGCTGGCTCCCAGCCCTGCCCTCCCTGCCCACGTATTTTCACTCCTGCTTGAAGCAGGCTCAGCACGGCGGCAGAGCTGCCATGGCAGCCAGAGCTTCCCACTGGCACAGCTACCTCGGGGCGATTGTGTCCCGCGAGAGGCAGTGGCTGGAGCATTTCCAGAAGGCCGAGGACATCCTGCTGACCCTGTTGGAGGGCGTCCATGCCAGGGAGCCCCGTTTCCTTGTGGACTATGCCAGGAACCTGGAAGCCTTTGAGTTCGCTCTCCGCGCCTCTGAGGATGCTGTCATCATGGAAGTTCCCCTGCGGATCGACGGCAACGCCCTGCGGGTGCTGGCATGCCAGCCTGGGGACACCCCGGATGGGCACCATGCGGAGCTGGGCACCTGCTATCTGGAAGTGTCCTCTCCAGGGACCGACCTGGAGGACTGGACCAGCACTGTGGGCGTGATGGAGCGGGGAGGTGGTGCGGGGTGCCTGGTCCCGGGCAAAGTCCTCCAGCACCTGAAAGAGCTCCTTGTTTCGGCCATTGTGCGCTGCCAACACTGCTTCGTGCTTCAGCCAGGTGCGTATGCCGGCGTGGTGCTTCCCTGGCCAGGAGCTGCCTCTAGCACAGCTGGGGAGCCCAGCTTGGCCGTGGTGCCTGGGGACACAGGCTGGGTCATAAGTCCCCAGGCGTACGACCTGCCCAAAGCCTGAATGAGCGACCGAATGCCCCGCCATGCACTGGGACAGGCTTTGCCCTCGGCTAAGGGAGGGGAGATGAAAATTACTCCCTGCCATCCCACGGCAGTGGAGTAATTTTCGGACATCTTCACCCTGGGCTGATGGCACCCTCTGTGACAGGTTGTGGCTCCATACAGGGTTCACCCCCCTCCTTCTGTTAGTCCCCAGGGGCTTGACATGCTTGGGTCACCCTAACCACATTCCCTCCATCTCTCCTGGCCTCCAAGTGCCCCCTGCTCCCTGGAGGAGGCTCTTTGGGAGGGCGAGCTGGAAGCACATGAGGGCTGGACCAAGGCCTAGGGGCATGGGTCTGACCCTGCACACGCATGGGCCCCCGCTGGGAGCAGAGTCCCTGGGAAGGACACAGTGGGGAAAGGACATTGGGAATACCCACAGGAGTCCCATCGGCTTCTTCATGCATTTCTGTCCCCAAAGGCGCGTCTTGAAGTAAATCTCAGCTCTGATGGAAAGGTGATGTGAGAGGACCAGCAGGTCTGAAAGTCTCTTAACCCAGACCCAGCAAGCCCGCCATTACCTCCTTCCTCCATGGCCAAGCCAAAGCCCTTCATTTTCCTCTACCTCGACAGTCTGAAACCTTTCCTGGTCCATTTTTTTCAGACCATATTGTTTTCCCTGGCACTGCTCAGCCACCCAGCAGCATGGACCCGTTCAGCTGCTTGGGGCTTCTTGCTGTGCCCACACCCACTGGCCTGGCCCCGAGCCTTGCTGGAGCGCTGCTCCTTCCCCAAAACCATCCCAGTCTGGTTTGGAGAATGGCTTTCACCAGGGAGCCGCAGCCAAGCTGCAGCATTGGAAAGGGATGAGTTGAGCAGGCTGGGACGTGCCCACGGGCGTTGCAGCACATACCCGGTTCAGCCTGTGGGACTGGCTGTGGTAACCTCCTAACCACAGCCAAGCCCTCTGCGCCTAGGTGACCTCAGTGCTGAAAGCCTGCAGGAAGATGCCATGGAGCTCTCCCTGCTGATCCGTGGAGGTTGGAAGACCATCCGTTTTGACATCGTCCCTGTGGTGAGGAGGCAGCAGGAGCCTCTCCGGCTCAAGGGGCGGCGGAGAGACAGGAGCTTCCCCGAAGGCAGCCTCCAGAAGGCCACAGAAGAGGCCCACTTCATCCCTGCCTCTCCCCACTGCTGGAGGTGAGCGGCTCAGCCACGCACGTAGCAGGGTGACCCTGCCCTGGGGATCCCCCCTGGCTGGCAGCGCTGCTGGGTATAGGCAAAAAGGGATTGGGAAAGCGGAGGGACACGTCAACAAGGGGATGCAGTTACCCCCTCATGATGCCCAAACTCGCTGCTCTGCGTTGAAGGAAAAGCCTCAGCCTAATTTCAGGCAGCTCAAGGAAAGGGGTGGGATGCAGCTGAAGGAGTGCCCTCAAATTGTTCGCAGGAGCTGAACCCTGGCTGTGCAGAGGGCGGCAGCTCTCAGGGCCCTGCTCGGGCTTTGGGAGCAAGTCTGGGCATCTGGCAGCAGCAAGGTGATGAGGTGCCTTCCAAGGCAGGCTGCGGGAGGGAGCAGGGCCAGGGTGACACATCTGACCTGCCAGCACAGATACCCAGCCCCAAGGAGGGGCCGAGCATCTGGCTGGACCAGCCTTGGCTTATTTCAGGCACAACATGATCCAGCTGGATGCTCGGCCCCTCTTTGGGGTCTGATCCAGCCTCTCCTCCAGGGCAGCCTGCAGTCCTCCTTATTGCATGTATGGCAGCACAACCCTGCTTTGCCTCCCCTCTTGTCTCTCCTGGGAAGGCAGGAGCTTCTCAGCAGCATCCCCATCATGCTGCAAACCTCCCTGGTTCCTCTTTGCTGGAGGTGGGTGCAGGAAGTGGATCCAGGGTGCTGCATGCCTGGGGCCACATGGGTGGTGAGGGGGTCTCCATCCTCCCTCTCACCAGACCCTGCTTTCACCAGATCCTCTACTCACATCCCCATCCTGAAGCTGCTCCAGGAGGTGGACACGCTGAAGGGATCCCATCTGGACAGCCTCCGCCTGCTCAATCAGCTCCGCAGCCAGGACTGGAGAGAGGAGGGTGGAGAAGGTGGTCTCACCTTCAACCACCTGAAGGTAGGTAGGTTCTGCTGGCAGGACAGTGGCTCTCTGGGCAGGCAGAGCCAAGGATGCTACCCTGCACACACCCCTAGGCAAGTCGCTGCTGGAAGATCCCAAGCAACAAACCCAAGTGCCTGTAGTGCTTTGGGTTGTACCAGCCCATGGCTGTGTCTGGAAAGGATGCATGCTACCGGCCATGGTTAGAGGGGTTTGATCCTTCTTCCTGGCAAATGGCAGGCACTTGCTGGGTTGAACCAACAACCTCCAGGCTGAAACACCCTGAGCATTAAGAGCTAGGGCTCTGTGACAATGTGCCAGGGATCCCCTGGCACAAGCTGCCTCTGTCTGCAGGGACCATGCTGGGGATTGCATTGCCGTGTCTTCCATGCTGCTGGTCGTCCTATGCCCTGGCGTGCTGGGAGGTGCTTGTACAAGGCTGAGGGTGGCATTTCCTCTGACAAAACCCTCCTCTCCCCACCCAACCTGTTTTCAGCACCCTGGACCCACACCAGCTGTTGACGCTGGACTGGAAAGGGGCCACGGTGGGGACAGCAGCTGGTGACACAATCCAGGTGCGCCCTGGCTTGTGGCAGCTCTCTGGCCTGGGGATGGAGAAGCAGGCAAAGTTGTCTTCTGCGTAGACAACGGCTCCATCTCCAGGTAACCCAAATTCTGTGGGTTTTGATTTATGTTGTATTCTTTTTTTTTTTTTTTTTAAAAAAAAAAGGTCACAGTGTGCATCTGTCCTTCAAAAAAGCATCTTCAGCTGCAGCCCACTGTATGCATTGCCCATTATGGTGTGTTGCCAAAAGGCATCAGTGCCAGGCTGTTTGCCAGTGTGGTGTTGAAGAAGCTGGTGTGGCAGCTGCTGGGGGTTCACCTGCCTTGCCAGTGGCTGATGGAAACCACAAGCAGCGTTTTTTGCATTGCTCGGTGCCTGCGGAAAGCTTGGGTGTGTTCTTTCCGAGCTGCTGCAGAGCCGGGACCTTCCTCGGAGCTGAGATGGGGACTTTTGGGGTGTGAAGCAAAGGTTCAAAACTAAGGGGTGGCGGGGCATCGGCTGCGCCTGCAGCAGCTGAAGCAGCGGTTCCAAGAGCCTGCGCTGCCCTAGGCTGCTGAGGACCTGCTGCCTGTGTTGAGGGCTCAGCCCCATGGGTGGTGGGGTGGTGACCTGCAGGGTGTGAAGGCACAGCCTTGGTGGGGGGTGCCTGACCCTGCGCCCTTCCCTCCCTCCCTGCAGATGGTGCTGCTGTGGAGCACGGAGCTCTTTCCCTCCCCAGAGGACTGGCAGGACCTGGAGGGCTCTGTCTACAGGCTCTTGGTGATCCTCCTCCGCTGCCTGGCCACCCGGCACCTGCCCCACTTCCTGCACCCGGAGGAGAACCTCTTCCAAGGAGAGGCCCTGGTCCTCGCCTCCCTCTACTGCAAGGTGGAGAGCTTCGCTCGGGACCCTCGACGCTTCCTCCGCTTCCATTTTGGCCTCCCTGCACACACTGACAACTGGCAGGCAGATCCCAGCACCCAAGCCCTCCTGCATCTCCCCACCAAGGACCGGTCCTACTGGGACACATCCTACTTTGACATCCTGCTCAGCCAGGTAATGCCAGACCCTCAGCTGGTTTCATGAGGCAGAGCGTGGCAGCACCAGAAACCGCTTGGGCTGGGAAGCTTAGGATGCGCTGGAATTTGCCCCTCGGAGCCCCCCAGCCCATGGCAGCCACTGGCATGTGCTGCCCAACCCCACCAGGGAGGCTGCAGGAGGCTGGCGATGCTCGGGCACGGGGCTCAAACAGAGCAGGGAGAATTTTCCCCTCACTCCCTACCTGCCTCTGCTCAGTTCCAGGTGTACCGGATCCAGGATGGCACGCGCCACTCAGCAATGTCCCAGCTTCTCTCCAAGATCCGGCGAGAAATCCTCCAGCAGAGCTGAGCAGGACCCTGCTGCTGCCCCATCTGGGTGTCTCTAAACTCAGGGGGCTGCAAGGCGAGCTACAGGACCAGGGAGCAGCATGCTGCCATGTCACTTTATTGAGGAAAGATGGTACCGAGGAGCGAGCACAGGTCTGCTGCAGCTGGGTGGGAATGCATGGCCTCTGGAGTTCCCTGGTAGAGCTGGACACTGGGTCAGGGTACCTAATCTGGGGGGGGATGGATAGCGTCCTGTGCTGGTGGGCTCTGGTGTAGGGATGACGAGGGTGATGGTGGTGGGAGGGAAAGAGATCTGTGGTCAGACCCTGCATCCAGCCCTCGTGTAAGTTTGCAGTGGGGCTGCAATACCCTGGGGAAAGGGAGTAACTGGGAGGCCAGGCCATCAAAGTGACGGGTGACCCTGTGTGGGGACTAAGAGGTTTTGAGCCACATCCCATGTCTGCTGAGCTGCAGCCCTCACCTCCACGTCCCTTTGCTCTTCCAACTTCTCTTTCCCACTCTGGCTTGGGTTGCTGGGTGTTGCAGCCTTTCCTGCCAGCATCTCAAGGAGGCAGTGGAGCCCCTCTGCCTGCCAGCTGCCTGCAGCCTGGCATGGGGGGGGAAGTGCCGCGCCGCCTCGTCCGGACCCTGATTTTGCTGGGGTGCTCACAGCCTGCTGCGGCGGCAGTGGCTGAGGGCATCTCGCAGGGCATGCAGCACACGGTCCACGTTGCCGCTGGTCGAGTTGCAGCCCATAAGGCCGATTCGCAGGACCTGGGAGGAGAAGGGCAATTGTCTCTCCGCAGCGCCCACCTTTGAGGGCATACCCCGGTGCCACCTCCCTCCGAGCAGAGAGCAGGCTCCTATGCAGAGCAGGGGGCATGCAAGGAGCCAGGCGTGAGTACATGTGCACAACTCCCTGCTTGATCCTATTTAACATGCGTTTCCTCTAAAGATGTGTCACCCCGCTAATTATGTGTGCGGTTATTTAATTATGCACGGCAATTGTGTGCGGTTAGGAGCTGCTACGCATTGCTGCAGGCGATGGGGTGCATCCAGCCCTGTGTGTTTGCTGCTTGCAGCCAGAGAGCACCAGTTAATGGTGGGGCACGCTGCTGGTGGACGCAGCCACAGCTGGGTTCGGGGCCTGGCCGTGGGCAGTGGGCGCGGAGGACGCTGCCCACCTTGTCCACTGAGGGGCCCAGGCCCCCGGCGATCTCGATGGCGTGGTTGTCCATGAGAAAGGCTGTGATCTCCTTCCAGTTGTAGCCCTCAGGCACCTTGACAGTGGTAATGGTGGGAAGCCTCACCTTCTGGGGAAGGCAGAAGCTGAGTTAAGTCTGCAGCTCCTGGCTGCGTCCCCGGCCCCCCCCCCCCCCCCCCGTGAGCCCAGCAGTCTGCCGAGAGAGAGCACCACTGGGGTGGGAGGGGGAGTTTTTTTCTCCAAGATAAAGGCTGCCCAGGCACATCTCCAGCTGCGCAGAGCCGTGTCCTCACAATGCCCTGCACCGTGGCGGCAGGCTCGCTCCACACCCACCTCCTCCTTCACGAAGAGCTCAAGCCCCAGGTTGCGGAGCCCCTGGCACAGCTGGGCACAGGTGGCCCGGTGACGCTCCCAAGAGCTCTCCAGACCCTGTGGGCAGAGAGGAGGGAGAAGGGCCCTGCCAGTGATGGAGACCTCCTGGCACCCACTGCCGGTGCCCCCCCTGCCTGCCCAGCAGCGCTCACCAGCTCCACCAGCACGGCCAAGCCTTCCCGCAGGCTGAAGAAGCTGTTGATTGGTGCCGTGTGGTGGTACCTGCAAAACCCAAGGGGCACCCAGGCGGGTTCGGCCCAGCTCGCAGCGGAGCAGTCCTCCAGCTTGTGCCGGGGGGGAACTGGGGTGCAGCATCCTCCCTCCTCTTCACCCAGCGCAGAGGGGATGTGAATCCCCCCAGGGCCGCTTTGCGACCAACTGGCAGGGTGGCAGGGGGACAGGGCCCAAGCCCTGCAGGGCAGGCAGCCCCCAAGCTGGGGCAGAGGCTGTGGGTGGGAGGGCTGTGGCCATCAGCCCCGGGACAGCAGACCCTCACCTTCGTGGCTCCCCATCACAGCCCCAGTAGTTTGCCAGCCAGCCCATGTCCAAGTAGAAGGATGGGGGCTTCGTCTTCCTCCTCAGCATCTTCTCTCTGGAGAAGCAGAGTGCTGGATAAGAGCTGGACCTTGACCCCACCAGCTCCGGGGTAGGGTCAGTCCTGCGGGAGGGCCCCCCCCAAAGCGAGCGCAGAGGTTGGCTCCAACGCCCATTGCTGCCCAGGGATGGGATGGGCTCTGATCCCGCAGAGCTGCTGCTGGTTGTGCTCTCCAGGGCAGGGCTGGGGTGGGTGGCTGGTGAAGCTGGGGGGGGGGTGTGACAGCCTCCTCCCAGCCCCATTGCCTTTCCCCGCAGTGGGACAGAGCTGCTCTTACCTGGCTCGCTTGCTGAACGAGATGGGGGCGCTGCCAGGGGGGGCGTTGAGAACTTTCTGAGACCCCGAGTATAGAACGTCGATCTCTGCCCAAGAGGGGAGGTAGCTTCTTAGGGACCGGGGGATCCCAGGAGGGACACATTGAGTCCCCCCCAGCCCGGCTGCAAGTGGTGGGTGAGAAGCACAGGGTGGCACGTGCTGCAGGTCCTGCTCGTATTTGGCCAGCTTTGGGGGACACTGTGTCATTGCTGACGGTCCCTCAAGGGGAATAAGCTCCCTGGATGGAGCAGTTTCTAGTGCTACTAGCCCAAAATGGGGACGGGGGGGGGGGGGCTGATCCCACTGCCCTCCTTCCCTGGCTCAGGTGTGAGCCCCCTTGTCCCCTGGGTGTCCATGATGGCACTGTGGCTCTTACCCTGCTGGTCCATGAAAATGGGGGCTCCGCCAAGCGATGCCACTGCGTCCACGAGCAGCAGGCAGCCATGCCTGGGGGAAGACAGCTCAGCCTGGTGTCCCTGTCACCTCCTTCTGCCACCCCTTTTCCTCCAGCCCCAGCATCCCAACCCCCCCCCCAGGCCTCACACCTCACTGGCACCAACAGCTTCCAGCACAACAGAGCCAGAGGAGGGCCCAGGGCACGTAAATCCCTGTGCCCCAATCCCTGGCAGCGACCCTGGGGTGCTGCCAGCCCGTGTGGGTGCCTGCTGTGCACTGACCGGTGGCATAGCTCGCCCAGGCCCTCCAGTGGCTGCAGCACCCCTGTGGAGGACTCGCCATGGGTGATGAAGAGCACTGAGGGCTTGTGCTGTGCCAGACCCTGCATGAAACAGAGGGGAAGGTGGCTGCCCCCAGGACCAGCTTGTACCCCCCACCCTGCACCATGGCCAGCACTCACCCCCTCGATGTCCCACAGGGTGAAGTACTCTCCTGGGGGCTTCAGCAGCTCGTGAACATTGGCTCCTGGGAGGGATTTGGGCAGAGGGAGAGTGAGATTTGGGCATGCTTCCCACTGGGCAGCCACCTGCTCCACGAGGGAATCGGTCGTGCATGAACCAGGAGCGCGGCTGCCTCCTGCAGATTGGCCTGGTGGAAAAGCCTTAAACCACGGTAAGTAGAGGGACATCACCCTGGAAAAAACCTGGAGTGCTCTCTGGCTGCAGAAGCCATGTCACTGGCCGCTGCCACCAGCATGGGCACAGCAAGCCGGGGGTCACATGCTGGCGTTCTGCCCACAATCCCGGTCTCCTGAGCCCCACGGGTGCTGTCCGTCCGTCCCCAGCGTACCCAACCTCCTGGCGATGTCGACGGCGCGTTGTCCCCAGATGCCGTTGACGGCCACCAGTGCAGTGTCACCGGGCTCCAGGAGGTTGAGGAGGGCAGCCTCCATGGCGCAGTGGCCGGTGCCGCTGATGGCCAGTGTCAGGCGGTTCTGTGTCTGGAAGGCGTACTGGATTCCTGCCTTGATCTCGTCCATCACCTGCGGTGGCAGGGGCCTGCCTGGCACTGCTGTTGCCTCTCCTCACCCCAGCAGAGCTGTGCCAGCCCCTCACGGGGGTTGAGGGAGAGGAGGAGGGGAAGGCTGGGCTAGGGCACCTCACCTGCAGCACCTCGGGGTGCATGTGGCCCAGGAGCTGCCGGCCGCCTGCAGCCAGGATGCGGGGGGGCACATTGCTGGGCCCCGGCCCGAGCAGCAGTCTCTCTGGCACGGCCAGCGGCCGGAGCAGCCCCTGGGGCGGGGGCACTTGGAGCAGGCTGGTGGCCATGGCACGCCTTGCCATCCCCAGGAGCCGAGGCCGGAGGAGAGGAGCAGTGGAGGCTGCCCGTGCAGCACCCAGCACTGCAGCACAGCGCATCCTGTGCCGGTAGTGTCCAGTGTCCCCGTGGACCCTGACCCTGGGGCTCAGTGTTCCCCCCGCCAGCCCGGACTCTGCCCCTAGCCACCTCCTCATCTGGTTAATGTGCCACCAGCGCTGTCCCTCTCATTTTGTCAGGTCCCCTCTTGCTGTTGCTGGGGGGTTGCTCCCCAGGCACACCAGCCTCTGGGACCGGCAGGCCTCCATGCAGACCCCAGCCCCATGGCCCCCAGGACACCACGGTTGATGGTTCCCAACACCATCCCAGCAGGTGGGATCCCTGATCCCAGGCATGCGGGTCCTGTGCCATGGGATTGTTGTGCTGGGACTGGCCTGGCACAGCCACCATGGTCACAACCCCTACAGCAGCACAAAGCTTTGTTGGCCAGGTCTCCCTGACCAAGGACCTGCCTTGCAGAAGGACACCTGGCCGCCAAGCAACAGCTTCCTGGAGCAGGCTGGCCATGGGGACGGGTGGCACAAGGGCAGAGCCGTGGAGTGGGACGTGGCCACAGTCCCTGCCACGGGGAGCTGTGCTCCGCAGGCTCAGCCTGGCTCAGGGGCATCACAGCGTGTCCTGATGATACCACAGGCCACACGTGCCTGTTGACTATGCTGTGGGGGTCACCCACCACGTGTGTCCGTGGTCTGTTCTATCATGCTGATCCTCTGGCACATTCACTGCCATCCATACTTGGAAATGCAAACGAGCTGACCGCTGCCAGCTCCTGGCAGGTCCAGAAGCAGGTCCCTGACCAGAGAAGCCACTCGGTGGGCAAAGCTTTGGGCTGGGGATGATGGTTATGGGGTGGAAATTGTGCCCCTGACAGAGCTGTCACTGGTGGATGGTGCTGAGGGTATTTGGGGCAGGTGTGTGGGGCTGCCAAGGTGCCAGGTGAGAGCATTTCTGCCCAGGCAGCTGTATGCTCTTCTCCGTGAGGAGCTGGGAGTCGGTGTGGCCAGCACCGCGTGGAAGATGGAAACCTCAGTTAGCCTGGGGGGGCTGCTGCCCTGTCATCACCTACCAAAGTGAGGACCAAAATTCCTGATGTCCTGAGAGGTCCCGATCCAGTCCCTCATCTTGTGCCCCAGCCACGTGCTCCTCTGGCTGAGGGGACTCCCTGCTGCTGCGATTGCTGCCTGCTGGATGCTCGCAGCATCACTGAACCGCTCAGTCCCTAAAACACCAGCAGGAGAGACCCGCTGGAGACCCGCTACCCTGCGACGGATGGGCGGGTGGGTGAAGACCTCTCTGCCGCCTGCCTTCCAGGGAAAGGCTGGAGCAGATGCGTGGCCTTGCGGTTGGCGTGGAGGGGTGAAGGAGAATGCGTTGCTGGAAACAGCTGGCAGCAAAGGCAGAATCTCCTTTCTGTGCTGGGTCTAAATCCCCCAGTGCAGATGGGCGGGGAGCTGGCCGGGGGCTGCGGGGTGGGGGGCTCATCAGGCTGGAGGGGTGACGGAGCTCTGCACCGGAGGTGGGTGCTGGCAGCCGGGGCCGCCGGGGGCTGGGGGGCCGGAGCGGGGGCCTGAGGCCGGCGGGGGGCAGCTCTCCCGGGGGGGCAGCGTGCCGGCGGGGCCGGGGTACCGCGCCGGGGCGGGGGGAGCCGGGGATGGGGGATGGCGGTTGCCAGGCGACGGTTGCCGGGAGACGGTTGCCGGGTAAGGCGGGGGGCCCCGCCCCTCCCCGCGCCCTTGCGGCGGTTCCGCAGCGCGGACCGGGGGGGTGGGGGGATGCGCTGACGTCATCGCTCCATCCCCGGCTCGCGCCCTCCCGGTCCCCGTCCCCCGTCCCCCCCTCCTCCCCCGGCTTCTCCCGGGCGGCGGCGGCCAACCAGCGCGCGGGGCGGGGTGGGGCGGGCGGGGACCGCAGGGGCGGGGCTGCTGCCACCCGCACCGGCACCGGCACCGGCACCGGCACCGGCACCGGCACCCGCACCGGCACCGGCACCGCGCCGCACGGCTCGGCCTAATGCCGGCGCCCCCCGCCCACGGCTGAGCGCTGCCCCCCCCCCGCCGCACCGGGCACGGGCACAGGTAGGGGCGGGCGGCACCGTGCGGGACGGGGCAGCCCCGCCGCGGTCCCCGGGCGCTGGCTGAGGCGGGGGGAGGGAGCGGGGCCGGGGCAGCTCCGGGATGGCAGTGCCACCCCCTCTCGGACCCGGCGGGGCGAGCCGTGGCGGGGGGAAAGCGGGACGCGCCCTCCCGGGGGGCTCGGCGGGTCGGGGGGGGCTGCGGTCAGCGGCCATCTTGAGCTACCCCCCCACCTCCCCGCCCGAGGCGAGGAGGAGGGAGATGGGGCGGGGGCTGCCCGCCGGCCCCCAGCGCGGCAGCTGGTGGGTTCCGCCCCGGCTTCCAGAAAGATCCCGGCACCGGCATGGGACGGGGATGGGGAGGATGCGTCCCCGCAGCCCGTGGGAGGGGGGGGGGGGGGCACGGACCCCTTTTCACCCCAGAGCCGCCCCTGCTCTCTCCTCCGGGGCAGGTGGATCTGACCGCGGAGCTGAGCCATCTTGCGCCATTATCATTACGCCTCAAGGATGGCGCTGGAGGGAGCGCTGGGTGCCCCGGCTGGGGCTTTTCCCCGGGGGGGGGCGGGGGGGGGGGATGGCAGGCAGAGGCACTGCAAAGCTGAGGCTCTTGCTTGCCCCTCAAGGACAAGCTGCTGCTGCTGACCTTGTGCCTGGGGGGCAGCGGGGCCAGGCCTGCCATGTCACTGCGGGCCAGCACCGATGGCCGCAGGCTGGAGGAGGGGGTGGTGCAGAGCCCTGCGCTTGGCCACCCTGGCTCCCAGGGAGCAGCCCTGCACCTGCCCCATTGTCTTCTTCCTCTGCCTCCTCCTCCTCCCCCACAGGGCAGTGTTCCCTCCCCCAGACCCTGCGGACCCCTGTGTGCTGGGCTCTTTCTGCCTGCTTAGGCTCCGTGCCTCGCCTGTGAGGCTTGGGGAGGACAACAAAGCAGCCGAGCATCTCCCCTGCCGCCCCGCGGCCGTCATTCCACGCCCCAGTTCCCAAAGCAGCTAGCAGCCCCATAGCGGGTGGCCTGGGTGGTGTGGAGAGGGGGAGGAGGGCAGCAGACCTCCCCCCTGGGGTATGGCCAGGGGTGTGGTGGGCTCCGCCATCCCCACAGGCTGTCACTGACCTCCATTTTGTCAGGGAGGTGGCAGCCGGCGCTGACACAGATGCCGCTGCCACCCCCTTGCCTCCCTGCACATGGCCAGAGCTGCAGCCCCCAAACCCCGGGGGGGGGGTGTCGGAACATGGTGTTCCCCTGCTGCCCATCCCTCTCTGTGCCCAGCCATGCTGGTAACCCACCGGAGCTTCTGCCTTTTCTGTGCAGCTTTTCCTTTGCTGTGGGTTTTAGCGTGCGGAATAGAGGATGGAGAGAGTGGGCGATTGAGTGTGAGGTGACTTGCCTTTGCAGCGTGGATAGGGAGCTGGCCGACGTCAAGCAAAACCCCTTATCCACGGCCTTAAATTTGCTACCTGCAAATTTAATCTGTGTTGAAATTCTTAGGGAGCTGGAAACGCTGCCCCGAAGCTGTGTCCCCCATTGGGATGGGCAGGAGGTGAGGAGGCATGGGGCAGGGTGCTCATGATGGCACTGGGGAAGCGGGGGGGCCGGATTTCAGCTGGGGATGGGGAGGGGGCACCTGCCCCTGCCCTGGGTTGTCCTCCAAGCTGCTTCCCCACCTGTGGGTGCTGCTCTGGGGAAAACTGCACCATCACGGCCCCTTGCCCTGCGCAGGGCGGGAGGCGAGCGGGCAGCAGCTGCTGGGCTCAGCTCGCAGGCGCCAAGGGTGCCGCGTCATCTGGGCCAGCTGCCCCCAGGGCCCCACACTGTCCCTCTTGTCCCCAGAGGGAGGGCAGGGTCCCGCAGTCCCCGATGGAGCTGTGGGGGGGGACACCCTAACGAGGGGTGCAGGGGGAGGTCTTGTTAAAACAAAGCCAGTCGGGGGCTGAGAGCACTGTGGCTTGGGAGGCGCAGCCAGACAGGGCGTCTGCCTTTGCCAGCGAGGTGACGTGAGGATGCGGCGCAGACAAAAGGAGAAACTCGCTATGGATTTCCCTCAGTTCAGGCAGCTCTTCATCTGCCAGAGCCGCCGGCAGCCCCGGCGAGGCAGCCCCTGCCCTGTGCTGGGCACAGGGAGTGGGACGTGCTGGCCATGCCAACCCGCATTAGTGTCACTCGAACCCTGGTGTCCTACAGCACCCAGGGGACAGGCAGCCCAGCATGACCCCACAGCATCCCGAGGGGAAGAGTTTGCTGCAGGTGACACTTGGGGGACAGTGCTCCTCTTCCCACCGGTCACCTCTCGGTGGTGGTGGAAGGGCTGCTAGTTGGTAGCCCTCAGGTTTAAGAGAGCTCTCGTCCGCTAATCTCTGCCCAGTTAATCTTAGCTGATCCAGTTAATCATCGCTCTCTAGGCCTTTCACTCATTGCCAAGGGCTGGCGGGTGTGCTGGTGGGGGTGGGCAGAGTGCAGCAGGCTGTGTGGGATGGGGGGGGGGCAGAGGCGCTCTGCGGAGTTGGGGGACAGGTCTTGATGTGCCCCACGGCCCTGAGGACTCCGCTGCCCTCTTCCACCGTCTCTCTCATGTGTGTGGGGTGACCCCAGGAGGAAGCAGGGAGGGAGCAGGGAGTGGGGCCGCGGTGCTGGCCGGCTCCCAGCGAAAGGCTGATAGCGGCTTATTGAATTTCTCTCGATGGCGGGTTAAGCAGACGGTGGCTGACCGTCCCCAGGCAGAGCGAGCTGGCTGGGCTCAAGCCACCCACCTGCCCCTGCCCTGCCTGGCCACAGCCCGCCTGCTGCAGCGCGTCCCCCCTCTCTGTGGGATGCCGAGCACCTACGGCCAGTGATGCCGGTGCTGCCACGTGATGTGGGCTGCAAGCTGAATTCCTCCCTGCAGCTGACCCAGGAAAATGAAG